ATGTAAGAGATGAAGTTGGTGGCATATGAGACACTCATACATAGTGTCTCATGGGAGAATGACATATGAATAAATACCGTCTGACTTAAATTCAATCCAGGTCAGACTGAGGTAATATTAACTCAACAGTGATCATCATTTTGAGGAGCTGCTCAGCCACAGAAACTGGTCCTCTACGAAACTTGTAAAATGTGGAACAAGGGCAATTCTTTCCTACTAAAGGACTTCTCTTTTCCCCCCCCCTTCCCCCCAGGGCTATAGGCTGGCTTCAGAAACGCATAAAGCCTACAGCTGAGTCGGTTCCTTAAAAACAAAAATATGGCTTACCTTCTGGAAGATACAGTGTCTGAAGCACCAGCACAGCAAAAGTACTGCTTCCAGCTCCCTTTAAAACACAACAGCAAAAGAATGAAGACAAGTGTTTGCCTTCCATTTTATTGATCCCAGTGTACCATAGACCTGGGAAAGCTATTGAGTTGAACTCCAACTCTAAATGAGTTTTAAAAACCTAAAACACTGGTTATGACACCTAACTGTCTTTCTTAGACAGTATTTACAAGACCCCCACCTTTGCAATAGTGGGTGCCCAGATGCAGACAGTGCTGTGACTTGAAAAGCCATTTTTACCATGTGCTCATTTAAACCAGTGTCATTCACACCAGGCCTAAAATAGTTAACCAAGTCAGAGTATAACTACTGCTTCCTCGCACTGCTAGTGTGACAGAATCTTTTTTTTTTTTTTAAGCCAAGGTCAGAAATGAACATTTTGAACATCGCTAATTCTGCTAAATCAAGGCAGTGAGAAGAGTGAGTGGGGGAACAGCCACAGCTGGTCCATCCACAAACAATTTCCCCTGCCTTGCAAAATTCAGGTCTCATCTGACCTTCTGTCATGTCTATCTTGTTTTTCTCCATTTGTCATTTTATGCCCTTCCCTCAATGCCAGTTGTACAAAGCCATCCCCTTTGCCATTTTACTATTACTGCCATGCAAGATGAGGCAAGAGAAAGTTGTACCTGATATGTTATTGCCCCACATTTCATGCATGGGATAGCTTTGGGAGTTGGTAATATGATGGTCTAAAACTTCCCACAGAGTATGTAAGAGTATAATATTATGAGAGAGTTCTCAGAGGAATAAGCGATGGAGGGCCTGCATTTTGATCTGATCGAACATTATGCATGCATGCATCAGTGCCTGGTGCAAAATCCAGAGCTTTGCTGATCTGCTCAGGGGGCTTCAGAGGACTGGGACACACTGAAGGATCCTCACAGCCTCCTACTCCAAGCCACCAGCAATTTCTCACGCATTGTTGTACAGCAGAAGTAGCAAATAGTAGGAGACTATGAATGGGTACAGCGCCAGAACAGCTTGTTCAACCTCAGGAGGACAAAGTGAAGCTGACCGACAGCCACATATCTTGGCAGTACTCGGCTTATTAAAATTTCTGTTGGGATTAAATGCCACAAATGCACCCAGGGAAGCGTCTCCCTGAAAGAAAGCAGGCTGTTGTTTCTTGACAGACCCCAGCACTTTCTTGCCTCGGGTCACAAGCCCGGGCATTCCCAGGCAAGGACTCAAGCTCCCCCATCTTTGCCAAGCTTTCATGACACTGGGCACTGATGCAGCGGGGCCCTACTCTATGGGAACGTACCCTTTGCAGTAAAGGGAATATTACTCTGCGAAGGTACCAAAAGCCCCTTTTTGCTAATAGCAGTGTCTGCATTGTGGGCTGCAAGCCCATATCACACCATTCCCTAGAAAGTAGTGCCTGCGCTCGAGTAGAATAGCAGGGGTGCCGAAGGTCAGAGCTGAACTGCTGGGCAATGTGGCAAAAGTTCAGAGCTTCTGCCTGCGCTGTTTGTGGCTCTTGCTAGTACCACGAGTCCTTCAGCTCTACAGGCATTAAAACTGAATGACCAGTGAGCTGGCCTCCGCATGCACCAGCCTGGCTGGTCCCGCTTTGAGCCCACCCTCCTGGCCTGCCCTGCCCTGCCCAACTGCGATGCTACACCCATGAAGGTCTTTGACACACAAAGGGTGGGGAGCAGAGCAGAGGGAGAGAGCATGCCCACAACCGGGCCCTGGACCTGCCCCAGAGGGGGGCAGGTCCCTCTGCCACTCTAGGCTGTGACCTGCGAGGCCCTGGGCTTGCCCCGGGGGAGGGGCCTGCCTCTCACCTTTCTTCTCCCCCATTGCACCCGCCTGGGCCCCTTGCTGGCCGGGCAGCCGGTGGGGGGCGCTGCCGCCCCACGCTCTGCCCCCCCCCCTCCCTGCCCCCGGCGGGACAAGAATGACGCCACGGGGAGGCTTTTCTGACGTCACCGGGGCACCCATGACGTTGCAGCACAGGGCGGGGCCTCCCTCCTTCCCTGCCTGCATTGTCCCTACTGGCAGGGGGAAGGCCGCCCCACCTCCCCGCCCCGGAGCTGGAGCCTGGGCTCCGTGCCCCCTCCTCCTTCAGGGCGGAGCAAATCGGGAGAGCCCGCGGCGAGAGCGGTGGTGTGTGGGGGCTCCGCCACTGCAGCGTCCCCCGGCAAGTGCAGCTGGAGCTCGCCGCGCTCAAGGTCTTCCACTGCGGGCCCCGCGCACTGTCCCGGCCGCAGACCCGCCGGAGGGTTTTTCCCAAGCCTGTGCGGTACTGACGGCACAACAAGAGCCACGGGCCCGGCTTGCAGCAAGGGAAGCTTAGGTTAGACATTAGGAAGAATTTCCTCACTATGGGACATCGGTACATATGGTTCTTAAAGCAGCGGGCGCTTTGGGATCGTCCTGCTTTGAGCAGGGGGTTGGACTAGATGTGACCTCCTGAGATCCCTTCCAACCCTCATGTTCTCTAATTACCCCCAACTCACTCTGAGAGGTGTTGCTAGTACATTTTGTAGCATCATCTGTGAATACAGTAGAGCACCCCTACTGCTATTATTATATGTGTGTGTGGGTATATGTGTTGTGTATGTATATAAGTTGTATCTAACAGTTAAAAGTGGCAAAATGTGTGTCAGTGCTGAGCAAACAGCAGTGGCGTGCTTTTGCACAAAAGCACATCAGAGGGGCTTTAGTTCAAAAGCGCACCGCCACCATTGTCTGCATGCCCACGCACATTTTGCCACTTCTGCAGCTGGACACGGTGCAGTGCGGCATGCATCAGCTCACGTGCAAAACAGACTTGATTCGCTGAGTCTGCTCCAACCTGCCGGATCTCCGGCGTGTCGCAGGATGAAAAAGTACATGTATAAATGCCCTTCAAGGGTAGTAAAGCACTGGAACAGGTTGCCCAGAGAGGTGGCGGAAGCTCCATCCTTGGGGGTTTCAAAACCGGGCTAGACAAAGCCTTGGCTGGGATGATCTGGTTGGGGATGGTTCTGCTTTGAGCAGGGGTTTGGACTAAATCACCTCCTGAGATCCCTTCCAACCATCATTTTCTATAATTACCCCCAACTCACTCTGAGAGGTGTTGCTAGTACATTTTGTAGCATCATCTGTGAATACAGTAGAGCACCGCTAATGCTATTATTATGCATGATTCATAGGATCCTATGGCCTGACATCCCCAGGGCTTCACCTTATGAAGGATTCACTTGAAGTGCAAGGGCACTCACTTTTATTATTGTTTATTATTGGCAGCATCTGCCTCGCCAGAAAATCCAGACGTGATTTTAGGATCAGGAATATTAACAGGAGTTTAGTGCCATTTCCAGAACAGTACGCGCGGGGGGGGCAGGAGAGGCGCTGCAGCCTTGGAGGGAAATGTAAAAATGTAGCATTTTAAATAGTAGTTTGCAAAATAAAGCCCTGTAATAAAAACATGTTATTTTTCAGTCATCTGTTCAACATTCATACTAAGACATTCTTAGTATGAGAAAGTTACAGATGTGATTCTGCAGTCCTGTCTCATGTTGAGTAGCACTTATTCATAAATGTCCCACAGTATCCCTGCCCCCTTCTCTCTCACGTAGACACACACACTTGCATATATTCACCTTGGAGGAGAAAATTTAAGAAAAAGCAACAAGTAGGACATACCACACACACACACACACACACACAGATATTTGCCTTGGGGAGAGAATTTTAGAAGAATCTACGAGGACACACCACAAACACACATACATACACTTGCAGATATTCACTTTGGGGGAGAGAATTTTAGAAGCAACAAATAGGACACACACCACACACACAGACAACAGACACACGCACACCCTACACTTGCAGATATTCACCTTGGGAGAGAGAATTTAAGAAGAAGCTGCAAGTAGGACAGAGACCACACACACATATACACTTGCACGTTTGCCTTCGGGGAGAGAATTTTAGAAGCCAAAAATAGGACACACACACACACAGAGACAAAACACACGCACGCCACATCTGCTTGCAGATATTCACCTTGGGGGAGAGAATTTTTAGAATTTAGAAGAAGCCACAAGTAGGAGCTGTTACTAACAGTGATGAATGAGATATGTCAAACACCACAGAGGTAGACTGGGTAACAGAACCTGGTAAGACTAACCTCCTCAGCTGAGTAAACGCTACTACATTTAGGTGAGGTTTGCAAAATCTAGTCCTGTGGTAGCATATATTGGATCAAGGATGGAGAGGTGATTTCAGAGAGGGGACTGCAAACTGGATCACAAGATGAGGCACTTAAAAGAGAACAGGCGGCCCATCTAATAGTCGCTTTTATGAGTTTGCTGTCCCTGTGGAAATTACCATAGTTAATGAATGTTGTGTAGTTAAATTAATGAACTTGGAAGTCAAGAGAATTTATTTCTCTTGACAAGAGAATTTATTTCTAGTGCTCCTCTGGAGCACTAATTGGATAAAAGCTCAACATAGGCCCATTCCCAGATGGTGCTGAGCACTCTCCAGTCCTACTAGGTGCTACATGTAAGACGAGCCAATCTGCCTTTCAGTCTCACAGCTTAAGTTGTTTTTCCCATATTCTGTGGACATATTCTGTGGAGAGGTCATCAACTAAAGTACAGTTAAATTAATGAACTTGCAAGTCAAGAGAATTTATTTGTCCAGACAATGCCACCACCTCCCATTGTTCTTAATTTCCTCTCCCCGGCACCTCCTAGCCACCAAGCTACTCAAACACTTAGTTTTTGCTCCCTTCCCATTCCCCTCCTTGTAATATCTGTTGAGTGAGTGACAGACTTCACCTCACTGGAGGCTTTAGTTCTCTGGGTGAGTCTTGATTCACTTCCCAATAATAGCTTCAGTCTCCTTTTCCCATCCTTGTTGGTTTAGATGCCTCTGTCAAGGTTTCTAGGTTTTTGTCTCCTTTTCACCTGCTTCTATAGGAGGAGCCTGGGGACATGAATACACTGCAAAATTAAAGTCTGGTTATTGCACACACTAATTTAATCTACTAACACTGGTAACAGTGGCAATGCAAATGTTTTAGCAGGGGCTTCACCATTCTGAAGAATACAAACTCTACAGAGACCAGGGGCCCATGCTCCAATTGCCGCCATGTGTTAAAGCCCATGTTCCTGGATCTTTAGTATAGTTGTTATGTGTATTTCTAAATTAATCTATCATCATTTTTCCAGTGTAAACATACCCTGTGGAAGAAGCTGTAAAGGACCAACCAAGTTCTCTATCAACTGCAGTTCTCCAGTTACTGCTTTACAGTTTTGGTGGAACACACTGTAGTGGTTGAAAGTCATGGAATCTTCTTCATTGGAGGTTTTCAGAAGGAGGCTGGATACACATTGGACAGGGATGATTTAGAAGTAGCATTCTTGTATTTGTGCAGTGGGTTAGAGCAGATGACCTATAAGCTCCCTTCCAACTATGATTCTGATTCCATAAATCAGCCCCTGTGTGCCTATGTTACTTTATTGTCAAATCTGAATCTGGGTCCAAGTGCACGGTGAAACTGTCCAGGCTAGTATTGCGGTGCTTAAAACTTACAGGACAAAATCAGATGTGTTTTCATGGGAGGTCATTAGGAAGTGAGTCTTCTGGCTATTCAGAGCTCATATAAGGAATCCCAGACACTCAGAACAATTTCCCACTTCTCAGTGTTATTACACCCAGGTGCAGATGCCCCAACGCTTCAGATCCAAGCCTCTGTTCTGCAGAGACATTTCCAAGTGTACAGCCCATCTTTTCAAGGAAGAAGGAGGGAAAAGAAAAAAAAAAGCTGCTGCCACAGGAAACTCCAGAGAACCATGGATTAGCTTCATGACGTTGAGCATCCAGGTACATCAGACCTCTGTTCGGAACCGCAGGGTGGTCCCAGCCATCTTCCTCTCATAGTCTGCATTGAATCTCTCATTCTGGGCCACAGTAAAGTGATTCTTCCAGTCACCAGCAATCCCTGAGATGAGAAAAAGACAATGAAGGAAACAGCAGAGGCTCACATGAGGCAAAGGGTCTGCTGGTGGAGGAAACCGCAGTAGAGCAGAAATTCATGGAGTGAGGAAGGGCTTGGCTCTGCCCTCAGTGGCACTCTTCTATGTAACCCAACAGATTTACACAGCTGTAATGGAGAGGGAAATTTAACTCTAGGGCTATTGAACAGACACAATAGCCGGACAATAGCCACAATATTCCATACACCAGGCCCAGAACTGTAGCTCACTAAATGGAGCACTAATCCGATAAAAGCTCAACACAGGCCCCTTCCCAGATGGTGCTGGGCACCCTCCAGTCCTACTAAGTGCTACATGTAAGATAAGCCAATCTGCCTTTCAGTCTCACAGCTTAAGTTTTTTTCCCCATATTCTGTGGACAGAGGTCATCAAGTAAAATCCCACTATTCATGGTAGATATTTTTACAGTGATTTTTTTTCATCAAAAGATTTTCTGACAATTAGCTTTGAATTGGAAAGAAGTCATTCAGAAATTGATTAACTAAAATATCATAGTGATCAAGTTTGCAATGGGGATTTTTTTAATACTTTGGGAGCTCTAGGCAAAAGCCAGAGAAAGCAAATATGTAACACAGACTCCTGATCATTTGACTTATACCGGAAATTGTAATAATCATAATTTTCCCCAGCTAACATGCATTGCATATTGATTGTTTCATATGTAGTTTTGCTATGGAAATGATTTCTTCTCAGCTTTGTGAATGATATGAGGAATGTAATTATTATGGTCCTTTTATTAGTATTATTATTATTAGGACCAATCAAGAATAGGGAGTCATATGCACCATGCATCCACAGAGTAGTAAATGGTCTCTCTTCCAAAAGGTTTGCCCTTCATTATCCTCTCCCTATTCTACACTTCTCCTTCACCTCCCCTCTGTCTCTTTAGTTTTCTCAGATGACTCCCCTTGAGACTTTGGCCCACATACTTCTTTTTCTTTTTCTAGTGAATATCGTTTTTGGCACAGATCCCAGACAGAGACCTGCAGTTCTACCACCACATTTTTTTAGAGAACTGAACTCCTGTTTAGCTGCCTGTAGAAAGCAACCAGACTTTGATAAATATTTTTCACTCTCAGAGGGAATAGCTGCATGTAGCGCACATCTGAAAAATCTATCCAGTTAGTGTAGGTGCCTCTCTGGGAGCAAAGCCCTCTTGAAAAACTGGCTGTATCTCCTTCATTCATGAATCATCATGGACTAAGCAGGCAGAGTATGGTTTGGTGACCAGACCCATTCATTTCTCTTTGTCTCTGATGAGAAAGGGATTGCAAATTAGTGCCTAATGTCATAGAATTTATGGATACCAGCTCTTCTTCATTAAGAACCAAAAGTGTCACCAGTTTGTTTCTTAAAAGCCAATGAAGATGGACCAGATAAAAACACATCCACCTTCACAGGCAGTGCAGGAGGGAGGACTAGATGGGAAAGCATCTTCCTATGACAACTGAAGAAAATAAAGGGTTGTGGTACCCATGCAGATCTTCACCTTTGCGCATGAAGGGGGAAATGGCTTGGTCCATCAGGGCACTTGGGACCACCTTGTAATTAGTGCTGGGGTTTTCCTTCATCACTTCAAAGGATGTGTGATGAACGATACTATCCAGAACCTCCTCCGTCAGGTCCTTCCCCAGGAACTGCATCACCTTCCGAATTTCACGCTTTGGGTCCTACAGAAAGACAGGCAGTGCTTCATTCAGAGAGGGTATGGTGGGACCTAACTGCTCACACAGTCAGGTGATCATCAGTGTCACCAAACCAGAAGGCAAAGGGAGCCTAGGACTTCCTCAGGATGCTAGCAACCTAAAATCTTCTGTGGTGTCCAAACAAGCCATTCATAAAGACACCTAATCAACCATGTACCCAACTCCTGCACCCTCTTCAAAATAAGAAAACTAACAGCTGGCATAGCCATTCCATGTTTCCATCTCCAGAGTTAGCACATTGCAAAGGCAATATTGCATGATCATTGACATTCCCTAGTTTTTGATTGGTTGAGTTCACGCCCTCAGTAATGTTCTTTTAATATAGTTTATGTGTATATTGGGGGGAGCGAGAGAGAAAGAGCTCACAGCTGGTTTTTCATTCAACAATACCCTTGCTTTAGTTAGACACTGTTGCAGACGGCCATTTTGGAGGGTGCCTGGTTCCATCCTTATGTTCCCCAGCGAGCACCAGAACTCGTAGGGTGAGATCACCAACCGGATAAGGATCTGTTCTTTAACACCAAAGTATTGCAGAAGCCCAGGGATTAAAGTTTGAGAGCCAACTCCAGCATACCCTCAGAATCAGACACTTTTAAATGGGGAGTACAAATCTTACAGTGATTAATCATGAGTTCAAGGGTGTACCCTACCCATGGATGCCTATCCCAATCACTTTGATATGGAAATCTTAGCAGGAGCAGACTTCTATGAGGTTTTCAGTACTACCTGCTTTCTCCTTTATTGGAAATGCCACTGGAGAAAACTTCTGGAGGGTATTTCTGTGTTTCCAATTGCTTCACAGCCAATACTAGGAGATACACAGTGGAAATGAAGAAAACAAAAATAACTGTACCCTTTCAGATCCCTATCAAAGATCTGACTTGGGGTCAGAGTGAAGAGCGATGCCCTTCAAGAACAGTCCCCCTCCCCTTATTCAAATCCTTCCTCAACTTCCCACTGTTCTTCCTGCCCCTTCCTAAAGAAGTCATTTGTTCTACCTGCACCTCAGTTCATTTGAGATGTTCTGGGCAGCCTCTCTCTTTGTGTGCCTCAGTTCTAAATGAGATAATCATGCTTCTGTAGGTCACATATGTGAAACGGATATTTTCAAAATTATACGGTAATGGGTGCATATTAGTACTCAAGTTAGAAAGCATGTGTCTGTTCACTTTTTCTCCCAACATGATTGCCCTCCTGCCTCCTCCTGCTGTACAGAATCTGGTCCATACCACAATCCTTTCTTTTCTTAGAAACCTGTCTAAAGGAAAGAGAGTAAGTGGGGAAGAAGTTCAGATTTAGGCTCACAGATTGGGCATGATATTAACACCAACCAAAGCATTTATATCACCTGACTCTTTTACCCATGAGGAACGTGACCACACCCACAGACAAGTTATCCCAGGATAGCAGGCACACTGCTCTTTGGAAGGGTTATAGTTGCTGTCTCACCTCTTTCATGTCCTCATAGAACAAGCAGAGAATGGGATGGTCCTGCCTCTTCTCCCACCAGCCTTTCACGTGGTCATACCAGGAACCAAAAGCAACTATACTTGGAGACAGAGGTATTGAAATACCATTAGAGAAAGAGTATATTAAGGGGTAGGGAAGAGGGCAAACTCTCTGCTGGAGAGCACACATATATCCAAAACCATGTGTAAATCTGGTGTCTATACAGAAATGCCCAGTTCTGCTCATTTGCACACATTCAGGCAAGTTCGTTGCCTTGCTGGCTCCAGTGTTGGGTTATAATCCTTATCTATTTTTCCAGGACTAGAACAGAAACTAGATAGTAACTAATATTGTGTGACTACAACTTAGCTTTGGTCTCTGGCTGATGTTAGCGCATAATGAGTCAGGTGCATGGAGCTAAATCCTTGAGTGGGGTAAACTGGCATCCTTTCATTTTAATTTATAGGTACAAACCAGTAAGGCCACACTGAAATCAAATGGGTCAACTTCTCAACTGGCATAAATGACCCTGGGTCCTGTCAAGTCAATGTAGCTATGCTGATTTACAATAGCTGAGACTTTGCCCTTAGGTTGTACTCATAAAACATCTGAGTCAGTGTATCCCCTGGTATGTGGATTCCCCTGAAATTGTGTTCTGTGAAGGGAAGCAAAGATTGAATCAAGGCTATTCAAACCAACTGTTATAGGAGGAAAATTCCCTTCTTCAGATCCCTTCAAATTTCTAGGGAATCAAAGGAATGGTTAAAGCACGCAGCATGGATATTTCTAGCAAGAAGCAGAAGCTCATCTGGGCAATTCACCTACAGCTGCAGGTCCCTTTCCTTTACATTTCAAGCAATAGCAGTTTAATCATCTGGGAGCACAAATTCATGACAGACACCAGGCTCACCTTTGCCCGCCATGTATTTATCAAGGTATTCTTCCCAACTCCCAGGGTGTGGATGCATCTTGTTCATCAGGTCAAAGTGGTAAAAGGAGACAGCTACATCCTTGGCATTCCGGGCTACATAGATCACCTGGGGCAGGGAGGGGAGAAGAATCAGAGTTGCCTCTGCAACTTACAAGGGCTCTAGAAGTGGATTGTCAAAGAACCCTCTTTCGGAACCTTTAGGCTTCTGTCAAAATCCCAGCCCTACTGCCAGGGATATCTCAGCTGTGGCTCTTGGCCCCAACGAAGGCCATCAAGTGTGAGGGTGCCCCTGAACACTGTGAGGCAGGGCACCAGAATGTCAAGGACTGGGCACCGAACTGGAAGCAGATAATCCTGGCTTTCATCTGAGTTTTTCTATTGCATTCTTCTGTGCTCTTAGGTGGTTACCTCTTCTCTGCCTCTCTTTTTGTTATAGGGGCAAAGCAAAAACATACATTTCTGTCTTTGTAACTCAGTGGCCCCTGGCTCTGAAAGGCAGAACCCTGTGGAATAAATTTTCTCTTCAATGCAGCAGCCAGCATCTAGATTGTACACCCAAGCCACATCCCAAGCATATCCAAGTACTAAATGACTGTACAGTAACTGGCATTACTACACAGTAGCATCCCCACTTGGCTTTGTGGTGATGCTGACTACACAGTAGTTCATTACTATTGCACAGTAGCTTGTTACAATTCATGCCACACGATGCTACTGTGCAGTAGTAATGAGCTACTGAGCAGTAAGTGTCTCATGTAGAGGCAGCCCCATAGTCATACCTGCTCCCTTTAGTGTCAAACATATGCTGCTTCTGCTAGTACTTCAACTTGACCTGAAGAGCTACAATGGCTTGGGAGGAGGGAGCTGGACTACACTTTAGCGTTTGCATCAGGCCACAGAATGGGGAACTGAGTAGCACTTTTGGAACCATATTCCACCTTTGGGGAAGTCTGGGAAACTCGGATGAAAACAATGCAGTGATCCAGGGAATCACAGTATACCCCCATCAGCCTTTTCTCTAGTAGGCCTGAGATTACTGCAGCTGGTTACCTTGCAGCCATTCTCCCAGAAGGACTTGGGAAGAAGATGGACTGGGATATGGGTCTTCACCAAGCGAGGAGATGGCATCTTGGACAGTTGCTCTGTACCTGTGAAGTAGAATTTCAAAAGATAATTCCTGAGTAGAGACACAGCAGTAAAGGTAACATTTTCAAAGGCACCTCAGTGAATGAGCAGCTTAAGATGCCTTTTCAAAAGGGACTGAAGCAAATGTCTCACTGAAGGTGAAGAACTGAACCCACATCTCCAGACCAGTGCTTTGTCTACAAACCTACCTTTCCTCTCCTAACCTGTAAGTCTGCATCAAGTTGCTGATCCATGTGTTTGCACTCCTGCAGCACTAATGCCAGACTTACCTGCTGGCATTTCTCCAGGGGCAGCAAATTCCAGCATGGGCACTCTGTTGACGATTGCATCACACTTGCATTTTTCAGCATTACCATTGCTCAGAATCATGTCCACAATTTCACTCATCCATGTGGTGCCTGGAAGCCAGACATGAGAAGAAAATGTCAGTCAAGTATATGGTTCACTTATTCAGAAATAGAGAGGAAAGGGCCCGATCCTGTCTCAGCCATCCTAGATAACCGCAGTCATGGTCATTCACTGAGCTAGTATCTTCTGTATTCTGGCTGCTTCTCATGTATTAGCTTGAGGGTGGGGAGTGATGGGATCTCATTAGTTTGTCAGAAAACACTACAGTGTGATAGCTTTCTCAAACAGTCACCCTGGGAAAGCACCATGGGTAATCCAGATGAGTCTGGGGTCCAAGTGAATGGGGGTGGATTCTAATGGTTGATTGGCCGGGAGGGTGCTACACATCACACTGGAGAGGCTCTGACATATTAACACTAGCAGCAGCTGTGAATCAGTGGAGCTGGTTTTCTCTCTCAAATTGAGAACCAGGTGGGGCTCGAAGGCATATCCGTCAACATTTCCAGCACCAGGCTTCACATGCTGCTTTGGCCCGTGATCATTAAAGCCATGATAACTCACCAGACTTGGGGTATGTGGCTATCAAAATGTCCTCAGGCCTGCTCTGGAAGTTGTCAATCCTTTCCCAATTGAAAGAAAATGCATAGACCATTGGGATGTCGTGGACTAGCCCCCAGTCCTGCCGAATGTAACTTTCTAGATGAGACATCCTGCCAGGGGTAAAATGTAATAGGATGTAACCAGAGTGTAATCAGAACAGAAACAAGAAGGGAAAGCAGCTAGGTGAGATGATTATTCATTTACCCAGTATTTCCAAATGCTGAGAGGAGCATGGTAAGATGCTTCTTTTATTGCAGTCAGTTGCTCATCTCTGCTCTCACTGGTTAAGAGAGAGAGAGAGAGAGAGAGAGAGTGTCCTCAGCTATTAAAAGCAGGGGCAGCAATGACATTTCCATTCTACACCATATTTTCTAACTCCAGTTTTTCATTACAATGCCTTATGAAAGAGGCCATAGTTCAGCTTTCTTACCCTTTAATTTCTTTGATACAATCTTTTTCAGGTCTCTCCTCTCAAAAGCAAACAGCATTTCTCACAATAAAATAATAGCACTTTTTCCACAGTGCCAAGGTAACTATTACTAAAGGCTGGAAAGGGGCAAAGGAACCAATCAATGCAAGAGGCTGAACCCATTGGGTGTTCTCCTATGGTAGAGGTCAAGTGTAAATAATCAAGGGCATAAATTATGGTTACTGAGAGGGAGGAGGGTCATATGGTAAAGGTACAAGACTGGGACTCAGAAGACCTGGAGTCTGTTTTCCTATGTGTCGCTGACCCCTAATGTAGATCATAAATTCTTGTGTACAGCCCAGCGGAGCTGTGAATTAAGTGAAGTTCTCAGATACTACCTAGGTAGAAGTAGCACAAATTATTTACTATAACACAATCTGTGATCTTAAGGTTCGTTTCCCCACCCCACTGTGAAGATGCAGGTTTGCAAACTAACTCTTGGTATGGTACAGCTATAATGAACAGCTGGATAGGGCTGCAGAGGTGCACCATCTCTTTGCTGTGGTTTTTATTTCAAAAGGTGTCATTTCTCTGATCAGCTGCTTAAGACCACAGATGACATGAACTCCACTTTTTAAAGTGAAAGCCAGAGTAGAGGACTTCACAGCTGATCCTTCATTCAGCAACCCTTTGCCCATGCAATGCATGGCAAATCCTTCCTCCATGAAAAATCTGTCTGCAGTGGTATAACAACACTTCTTACAAGAGATAGCTTTACTTTGTGCAGGCTGCTTCTTAGCGCTTTCACCGAGGGAAAATGAATGACAGTACTTTTTCACAGGCTCACTACTTCCATATAACTGGAGTGAAGTTTACTTCAGCACAAACCTAACAGCCAAATTAGGTCAGTGAGGTGTACTCTTTCACCCTAGATATGCATGGCCTGGAGTGACTTATTGCTCCAGACTCAAAGGAAGAGGAAGGGCTCTAGTGAGGCCTAGTACCTAGGCACGTGCACATTCATGGCCCAAGAGAGGACAACACAAAGTGCTTTGAAAAATTCTCACTACAGATTATATAATCCAAGTTTCAAAATTATTACTAATTTGTAAATAAAGAATAACCAAATAGCCAATAAAGCGACATTCTCAGCTGTAATTTAGCATATCACATTCTATTTTCCTGCACCCAGAATGGGTTGATAATAAAATGATTAGCTATGCGGATGTGATGAGCAGTGCAGAAAGTCTATAAGCAATATGATTAGAAGAACACACAGTACTTCCCTTTCCTCATTGCAAAACAAATGTTAAATAAGCAAATATTAGTAGGGAAACCACACTAGTGAAAATTACTGATGACTACAGCTGATCCTGTTGGCAGGTATATTTGTGTAATGGGTCAAGAGCTGCCTTTGAAGCACTCTTGAATGATTAGCTATTAAAACGCTTATCTTCTCCTGAAATCTGTAAATGGCAGCAACAAGCAGGACTTATTTTCCTCTGAAAAGAGCAAATTAAGAATAGTTTAGCTTCTGGTCAAAAAATACCAAGATGTAGAAGTTCCTGAGCACATAGAGAAAGTCAAACAGAAAGAGAGAGAGAGAGAGGCTAGAAATTAGGAACCAATTCACCATTTTGAATCTTAAATTCACATAAATCAGCAGAAAATTCATACAGTCCTGGCCCCTTCCCAAAACATCAGCTTGGACCCCACAACTCTGACCCATCCAGATGCCCCAGACTACATTGCAACACAAAGTAAAGCCCCTTCCATCTGACAAATCCATTTTATGACATACACTCATCTCCTTCCCCTGGGCACCCAGCTCCCCTTACAAAGTCTTAAAAGGGGGAACACCAGAGACTGTGCTGTGCAGGCTTTCAACACCAGAATATTCAATCTCATATTTTACCCTAAAAGCCCAGGCCTCTTCCTGGGTTTAGACCCGACCTCTTCAAGATATGCTGCTCAGAGAACTGCTCTGCTCTTCAGTCTAGTGACAGCAGAGATGGCAAACTTCTGGCAACAGCAGTACAGACTGTCAAAGCTTCTCAGTTACCTTTCTCTTCCTGTGGTGTTTCTCTCTTGGAGAGAAAGAAAAGCTGTGTACAAAGCAGTAAGATTTCTACAAGGAGAGGGAGGGATTGGGCAGGTCCCTAGGAACAGCAAGAAATTCTTTGGAGCACAGCCAAGGAAACAAAAGGTCCCAGTTACATAAGCCATGGGTTAGAATAGGAGGAGCCTGGGAAAAAAGAAAAGTTGGGCTGTGGGCCAGCAAAGAACAAATCCAGCTTGTCAGGAAGCTGTCAAACGAGTTCAGCTGAGAAAAAACAAGAGCTGGACTCACTGTGTTTCCAAGGCTGCTCCACGTTGAGGGGTGAGGAGTGTATGTTTTCTCTGGCGAGCCACGGGGGCTGTTGCAGGTCACATTACAAAACTAAAAGGACATCATCTTTTCCAAGAGACTGTTGGGATGAATGTAGTAGGAGTCTGAGTCAGATTTGCAGCTTGTAGGCTGGTGTGTCTGTGCAGGGTACGTGAAAGAGATTTTCAAGGAGAGGATGTACTAGCTGTGGACGTACTATCTGCATCTGGTTCTTAGAGCTGATCTTTCCGTTGTGTGTGAACCCAAAGCAATGGCTGGTTCTGGCAAATCCTGAAATCTCTGGGGCAAAACATGCCAGGGTCAGCTCAGTTTTTCTCCTAGATAGTTAATATGAACTGAAGCCATTTCATACTATGCCAGGCATCTGTGCCTTCATACACTGTACTGCTCTATACAAAGTCCTTCCCAAACTGGAACCACTAAAGCCATATTTTCATAGGACTGTGAGTACATTAGTTAGTATGAGGGTGAGTTAAACTGTGTGCTCTCTTCAGCAGTGCTAATTACCTTGCCTGAATTTCCATGATGACAAGGCTATGCAATGATGTGAGAATCCCAGCTCTCATTCAAAAACAAAGTAGCCAGTTCAATTGGTCACAAAGGAAACTTTAAAAGCATGACAGGGAACCGGACAGCAAATAAACAGAACTCAGCAGTTCTTTACACCCCATGGTTTTAAAAGCAATCTTCTGAGTTTTGAACTCTTTAGAAGCTCCATATCAAATATGCATTACTTGGGATGATATGTGTTTCAAGGTCATCTGGACAATCTAGCTAATACTGAACTCACCTAACCAGTATGCCTTGCCATAAGCAAAGTATTAAACCCAGGTCTGATTAGAAATGGCTGCCAATTTCTTGTCATTTAAAGATATGGCTTTTACTGTACCCCAGTCACTAGCTCAGTGTCAGCCTGTTTGAGAGAGGCTTTTCTCTCTGCCACAGTTGGAGCTAGGAGAGATGTCTGGGTTGAGAAGAGAGTTCCTGATGACATGGTATGCATCACGATGATGTGAATAGCTTGGATCTGCAGACCCTTCCGATCTCATCCAGAGCCCAGAGGCATAGTGATCTTTTTCAGCACTGGGATCATAGGGCAGGGGGAGAAGAGGATTATACTGAGCTATGGGGACAGAGGGGGAACAGAGTGTAACCTGATGGGGTAGCAGCTGCTACTGCTGTGGCTACTCCTGGAGAAGTGAAGGCTCTGGCTGGTGCAGCTGAGAAACAGGCAGTGACACAGGCTCCCTAGGGCCCCTCTTCTTGCCTTGTTTTTTCCTCCTTCCCCACCAAGGGCACAGGGCTGCACCTTCCATGGAAAAGTCTTCATGGAGGTGGGCACCATTCTACCCTCCTACCCTCAAATACATTCCTAGGTGCAGGGTCTGCACCTGCCCAGCTCCTAGGACTAAGCAGCGCAGAGCTGCACCTGCTGTGGCAAAGACTTCTGGGGGGAGGGGCCATTGGTGCCCCATCTAAGCTGGCATCCTAAATAGATGGTAGAGGAAGCAATGCCCTAAAAGGCCTTCAGGTTGGAAGGGTCCTCATTCACATGGCACATTGAGGGGAACTTGAACAGAACTCACCAAATCTTCTTCTTTGGCCCAAGTATCATCTTTCTCAGTGGTTCTCAACCTTTTCAAAGCACCCCTTGTTAGATCCAAGGCACCCATCAGAAAATTCCATTTCTTAGTTTTCACTTATTTTTTGACTACAGAAAAATAATAAAGCCTTTACCTGGTGGGAAGAACTCAGACAAACAACATCCAGGCAGAGTGGTTTTATTAATCACATGTAATTGGCTTGTTGGTCTAGAGATATGTTTCTCACTTTGGGTGTGAGAGGTCCCAGGTTCAAATCCTGGACAAGCCCAGCTTTTCAATTGGCTTATGGAACTCACCCAGAGAGTGGTAGTGGACTGGTTGGTTTTGACCTGGAGAAACGTAGGTAGTGAAGTCCCACAAGACTCTGTCCTGGGACTGGTACTGTTCAATATCTTCATCAGTGACTTGGATGAGGGAGTAGAAAGCACTCTGTCCAAGTTTGCAGAAAACACCAAACTATGTGGGGAGGCATGCAAACTAGATGACAGGCTGGGGAAATGTGGGGAACAGAATAGGACACAGTTTAACAAAGATAAGTGCCATGTGTTGCACCCAGGGAGGAAGAATCATCAACACTTCTATAGCCTGGGAGATACCATACTGAGGAGAGGGATCTTGGAGTTGTAGTCAACTCCAAAATGAACAAGAGTCACCAGTGTGATGAAATAATAAGTAAAGCTAACCTTTGTTGAATCCTGCCCCCTTGGGGCATTGTAGTGTCCCCTATACCCCCTGGTTTATGTCTGTTATGTTCCAAGTACTGTTCTCTCATTAAAAGGTATATGGTTAAGTCCCCATTCGTGATCTGACTCTGCTCTATAGGAGCAGGAGAGTCCCTACACCTCCCACAGCGCTTGTGCATCTGCTCTGATCCCTTCAATTGGAGAGGGGGTACCTCTTGGAGTACCACCCGGGTTACACATGTTTGTACACCTAACAGTGCTGGCACCCCACAGCACCCTTGGCAGGATTTCAAGGTACATTGGAGTGCTGCAGCACCCTGGTTGAGAATCACTGAGCTATCTAGAAATCAACCTCCAGTTAGGATCCGTACCCTCCTACAACTGCAAAGTCTATTAATTTCTTTACACTTAAATTTTTTACATAAATAAATAAGTATTCTTTAGACACTGTCAGCATCATTCCCATAATGAAGTCAAGTGCATGTGTACCATGGGAAATGAATGTGAGGCACAAAGATCATTTAAGTATTTATTACAATATTTCCCAAACTTTTGATACCTGGAGCACACTTTTTTTCTGGATTAAAGTTGGTGGCACACTTCACTCTCATGCCCAAAAAGAGATAGATAGATAGATATCAGCACTGGTATGATTTCCTCTGGTGGGGGAATGGAATATGCTACCTGTTTTGAAAAATGGGTCTATCTATCTATCTATCTATCTATCTATCTATCTATCTATCTTCATAAAAATAAAAAACTGTCCTCACTGCTTGGAAGGGAAGGTGCTAGCTGGCAGGGTGTAATGAAAGGCAGCAGACAAGTTGACTGATGGCTTCTCACCCCTCCTTTCCCACTGTGACCTCTCCAGGGTTCAGTAATGGGGTTCCACCAAGGGCAGCCAGCATTCAAGACAGCGGCTGCCTCCTCATCCCTCCTTCCTGTTTGGGCCTCTCCACTGATCAGCGCTAAGGGGCAGGGCTGCTGCAAAATGACCATAGAATTAGAACTTTATGCCATGATCGAACCATGAAAAGTCCCCCCATGATTTAGGTAGATCCACTACTGAAAACCCACACCATGCCTATGCCTGTGTAACAGGTACAAGGATCTACCGGATGTAGGCTTTAGAGCGTTATATGGTCGTATGGTCCTGGTGTATGCTACAGTGTTTTACTGACAGGAATTTGTTTGCATCTACATAGAAAGTGCCGGTAAGGCAATAAAATTTCATATAACAAGGGGTTAGGGTCACAAGCCAAGGGGCCACAGGGAGGGAACAGGTCAAAGGTAAAGAAACATTAGGACTTGGTAACATAGAGTACCTGTAGATGTGCTGTGAGGCTGCTTCGATGTGCTGTAATTACAGTGTGTCAGAGTAGACTCGATTAATCAAGTCTGCTGTGGTGTGGTAATTACCACACTAAAGCCAGCCTCCGCATTTCGTGTATCAGCATCCCTGCATGTCAAAATGGTGTTGGGAGTGCTTTAACTAAAGTGCATCAAACGAGCTTTAGTTCAAGCACCACCACCACCATTTTGAAACGTGAGGATTTCATAGATTTCATAGACATTCAGGCTGGAAGGGACCTCGGAAGATTATCGAGTCCAGCCCCCCGCCCGAAGGGCAGGAAGTCAGCAGGGGTCATAGGATCCCAGCAAAATAAACATCCAATTTTCTCTTGAAGGCGTTCAAAGTACGTGCTTGAACCACCTCCAGCGGCAGTCTATTCCAGACCTTGGGGGCTTGGACAGTAAAGGATGCTGATACACAAGACACTGTGGCGCTTTAATTAGAGCAGCTCTCAGAGCCGCTCTAATTAAAGCACCCCCCCCCCCAAACCCCAAAGGGAGCCGCTCTAATTAAAGCACCCCCCCCCCCAAACCGCAAAGCATATGTAAAAGTGCCCATATACGCAGCACCTGAATTTCCCCCGGGTTAAATTTTCAGAGGTGTCCCCAAGTGAGGCTTTAGTCCCTAGAGGGCTCAAACAGCAGCCTGCAGCGGCCCCCAAGTCTGAGTCCAGCTCCTTCAGCCCACTGTCCTGGCTGACCCAGTCCGTGAGATCTCCAGCTCCACTGTGCGCTCCTCTGCATACGGCTGCCCAAGTGCCATGAGCACACTGCTCTCTTCCCCTTGCTCCTGCCACAAGCTTCCTCTTCCTTTTTCCTTTTCTCCCCAGCCCTTGGGGGTTTCTGAGAGTTGCAGTCCAAATTAATAGTCAGCACAGCTCTGCAGACTGTCCCCCGGTTCCTTCTGCTGTTACACACATGACATTCACATTAGTTTCTTCACAACCCCCACCACCCACCCACTCCAAGTTTAAATTTCATCTCCTTCCTGACCCCATGTAGCCTGATCAAATTTCGGTACCATGAGGTATGTGCATGTATAGTGGTGTCCCTTCCAGAAACTTCTGCAAGAAAGGACCTTTTCCCCTGTTGACCCACCTAGGAAAAGTAAGAGCATGCAGCGTAGAAGGGGCAGAAAATCCTGAGATGAATGCAAGCAGCCAATATCTTGTTGAGCAAGTGCTTGACTTCATCTCGCTGGGGGTTTAGTGACGTCCTTCAGTGAAACTTAGGTCTCTTCCCAGTAATGACAACAGGCTTCTGTACCCAGCCTTTTTGTGGAAGCCTCTTTATTTGCTTTCCAACTGCTACTATAGGACAATCCTGGGGATATGTCTACATAGCAAAAGGAAGGTCTGGTTGTAGCATGTACTAGCTGGCACAAGTAACAGCAGGGGAGATGCCATGGCACTGGCACAGTAGCAACCAGAGTACAAGCCTTCCAGTGATTCTGGCTGTAGCAGGTATTAAAGTCTGTGTTGCTGTGTTACTGCTGTTGTTCTTACCCCTACTGATCAGATTAAGATAGTACATGTACAGTCAGATCTTCATTTTACAGTGTAGACACACCCTGCAGTAACAACTGTAAAGAAGGACCAAGTGGGTGATTGGCAGAATAAACAGTAGGGGTGAGGAGGTCAGCCACATGTGCCCCAGTGATGGCTACCTCATCACTAGGGATCCTGGTTTTCTCTGATTTAAGAAAAAATCCCCAATTTTCCATTAAAAAAATATAACCCCAAATCCATATTTTTCTGTGATTTAACTGAAACACCCCCCCAACATACACACTATATACCTCCCCCACACACACACATATAGATAGATAGATAGATAGATATAGTGATGTTTCATTTTAATCATGGAAAAATGTGGATTTGGGGTTACTTTTTTAACTGAAAATTGGGGATTTTTTTTTAAAACAGAGAAAACCAGGATCCCCGTTCATCACCATACCCAAAGCCTAGGTCCATGCCCACAGTGAGGCTGGCCAGGATACAGTCCAGCAATCAACAAGGGGTGAGGTAAAATAAGGTGTATTTGTATGGCAGCTAACTAGAGTATGAGTCTACTCATACTCCTACTCCTACTTAGGATATTCTAAAAGAATCCCAGACTCTTCAGAGAAATTCCCATTTCCCAGAGTCACAACATATTGCTGCCTACCACTGGGATGGAGACATTTCCTAGAGTCTGACCTTTGGTTTTTCAAGGAAGGAGGAGGAAAAAGAAAAATTGGTGTCACAGAAAGTCCCATGTAGCTCTGGTTTGGTTTAGCATCCTGACACAGAGACTCCAGGTATATCAGACCTCTGTTGGGAACCACAGGGTGGTCCCAGCCATCTTCCCCTCATAGTCTGCATTGAACCTCTCATTCTGGGCCACAGTAATGTGATTCTTCCAGTCACCAGCAATCCCTAAAATGAGACAGAGACAATAAAAGAAACAGAAGGAAACACGTGAAGCAAAGAATCTTTTGGTAGAGAAAACTGTAATAAAGCACAGCCTTGCTGACTGAGGAAGCACTTGGCTCAGCCCTCAGTGACACTCTTCCATGAAAAGCCAACAGATTTACACATGTGTGGCTGAGAGGGAAATTTAGCTTTAGGACTAATGAGTGTACCGTACACAGCAGGGCCAGAACTGTAGTTCATTACATGGAGTACTAATTAGATACAGTACAGGCCCAACTCTATGTGGTATTGATTGCCACCCACCCCTACTAGCTGCAATACAAGGGTGCAAGTCCCATTCTCCCTTCTAAAGTGTCTAAGGGTGCATCTACACATCACCCTATGGCAACGTTGTTACTGCACCGTGCTGTAGTGCTTCCTTTTAGAAGTACTAAAGCAAAGTGCAGTAGCCGCCTGTACTGCACTGTGTGTGCAGCACACAGTTAGTTTTAGCTGCTACTTCACCGTAGCAGCGCACTAAAATGAGGGAGTGCACCGCTATAGCAAAGTAGCTGCTGGTCATGTGTAGACTTACATGATCGCTATGTCGCCATAGCACATTGTACAGCAATGTAACATGTTGCTACAGTGATGTAGGGTGATGTGTAGATACACAGGTGTCACTTGTGGGGCTTTCGGTATCCCAAGTCACTAAGCATGATTCAGTTGCAGCCCACAGCAGCCCCAGCAACACTAAGATAGGTATGTTCTTTAGACCTCTACCTCCACCTGAGCTCCGCTGCAATTTCACTCCGTTCTTCAGCACTCAGAAAGGCCCATAAGTCCCCAATTCCTTAGACACAGAAAAACCAGACCTAGTAACTGATAAATAATAGCCTATGTGGTATAGCAAACAGCCTAATGGCATAGACTCCTGTCCTTGAAGTAAGAGACTAGGGTTCTTGGCTTATGTTAGCCACTGGGAGGTTGTACTCGTATTTCTCTCTTCCCAAGAAAGTGCTCTTGACTACTGGGCTGCTCTGTTCTTTCTAACCTCCTATTAAAGCTAGACCACTGAGTGGAAAGGTATGCAAGAATCCTAGAACTAGAAGGAGAGAAAACAAGGTATTCTTACTTGGCAGTTGAGTGTGATGGGTACTCCTCTGGGAAGTAGGAGGCCTAGTTTCAGCTCCCTATTCTCTATGCTATTGGTACACTTTATCAAATAATTATTTAATGGTGGGGGAGAAATAAAGACCCACTTTTCAAGGCAGTGTAGAAAAGAAAACCAGATGGGAAAACAACTTCTAATGCTAACTAAAGAGAAAAATGATGTGTGCTCATGCTCACACATATGCTCACCTTTGCACATGAAAGGGGAATATCCTTGTTCAACCAGGAAAGCAGGAGCCATCTTATAATTGGTGGTGGGATTCTCCTTCATCATATCAAATGACATGTGATACAGAATCCTATCCAGAACCTCCTCCATCAGGTCCTTCCCCAGGAACTGCATCACCTTCTGAATTTCACGCTTTAGGTCCTACAGAAAGAGAGGCAGTGCTTCATACAGATGGGGTGTGGTTGGACTCAGTTGATCACCCAGTCAGGTGAACAGTGGGCACATCTAAACAAGATGTTTTACCATGCAGTTGCCTAACTGACTGTGCGATAAAGCATCACTGTCTAAATGTACCAACACTTATTTCTCAGTCAGTTAGTCAACTGTGGAGTTAATTTGCTACCTGTACATGCAGGTAGCAAATTAACCACATGGTTGTGATGGTGTGGATGCGGCTGACTGGGAGCAAATTTGCTCTTGGGCAGGCCAGGCAGGAAGGGATGGGAGAACAACCCCCTCCCCTAGGAGCTGCCTGATTCCAAAGAGGTCTCTGAGCACAGATCCCAGGCTGGGAGAATGCCCCCTGCCTCAGCAGCCAGCAGCTCCTAGCCCCAGCTCTGCTATTGAAGGAGGGGGGGCCGGGAGATTTCTCCAAGCTCCCTGGGAGTGCGCGCAGTGGTGGGGAGCCAGCCTTCCACTGCGCTCACCAGATGAGCTGCCCACAGTTCTGTCTTGCTCCACGCCTGGGCTCAGTGGCTGCACATGGCCCCAGGCTGCATGCCCCATGCCTCAGCCCTGCCCAACTCCCTCCTTCACCATGGGGAGCTCCTGTCTGCAAGGGGAAACCCACCTTTTCCTGCATTTTTCTCCTTTAATGGAGAAATTCTGAGTTTTTCTCCTTAAAATGAGAAAATCCAGGTTTTTCTTCTTAAAATGAGAATATCCAGTTTTTACCGCGTTTTTCCATGGCAAACAGAAAACCCAGATCCCTGCTGAAAATGGACTTGAATATACCCACAGACAGGTTTTCCCAGGATAGCGGGCAGACTGCTCTTCAGAAGGGTCTTGTTGCCCACTCACCTCTTTCATGGCCTCATAGAACAAGTAGAGAATGGGGTGGTCCTGCTTCTTCTCCCACCATCCTTTCACATGGTCGTACCAGAACACATAAGCAACTGGATTTGGAGAAAGAGATATGCAGATACCATCAGAGGAAGTGTATTGGATAATGAGGGGACACATGCTACACTGGTGTAAATCTGTTGAAGTTCATGGTGACCACATATATCTGAAACCAAATGGAAATCTGTACACAAACACCCAGTGCTGTTTATTACTACATATTGGGCCAAGTTCTTTGTTTTGCTGGTTCCAGTGTCAGGCTGAAATCTGTATCTATTCATCCATGACTGGAACAGAAACTAGATAGTAACCAAAAATTGCATAGATACAATTTAGGGTCAGATTACTAACTGGTGTAAACTGAGGTAGCTACAATGAGGTTAAGTGGCAAGGTCCACAGATGCTGTATATCAACATGACTCTTATCAAAGTCCCTGGGTTAAATACTGAGCTGGTGTAAACAGGAATCCCTCCTGGTAGTCAATAGGCCAGAATGCCAAGTGATACTAATCAGGAAAACTGCACTGAAATCAAATGGGCCAGATTCTGAGCTGGTATAAATCAACATAGCTCCCATCATGTTACCAGATTTGCCTATCAGTTTTGGGTGTGCTCATTTATTAGGGGTACATTTCTAGGGTCTTTGTAATTTTATTAATGTGCTGCTTGTGTTACTTGTGTTTCTATATGAAGCTGTATCTCTCCTTTCTGCAAGTCCTCACCCCCAATGGAGCTATCTTGCAGGACTCAGTTTCAATGGGGCTGGGTTCCTCCAGCCACCAAATCAATCAAATACATACACACATGCACAGATTAATGTGATGTGCCTGACCCAGCCGAGTTGATCAGCATGTACAGGCTGACACCCTCATATGCCAGGAATCAGTTAATTAAGGTAACAATAAAATGCAGTCAGACACAAGCACACAGGTGAACAGAATACCTCTGAATCAAGCTGGGTGTCCAGCTGACACCTTGTGGGCCAGCATTCAGTTCATTAGGGCATGTCTGAGCCAAACTGGGTCAATCAGCCTATACAAGCTGATCCCCTTATGTGTTTTAAAGTCAGCATGTCCCAATCTTTTGCCCTAACTGTCCTAGTAGTGGTAGCCTCTTGATGAGCGGACCCCACAGTATTTTTGGGCTTCACAGGGATCTTTGGCTTAGGTGAAAGAAGTGTTGCTGCAGAGCAAGTAGGGAAGGGGAAGTAGAGAAGGAAAAATACACCCGGTTATCACCAGTTTGACTATAAAAGTTATTTATTGTAAGTGTATGAAATTTACAACCTATACCCTTGAAATTTATAATGGCACTAGTAGTAATAGACATGCAAGAAAAAACAAACAAAAACAGTTACAATATTACCCTGGTTTAATTGAGTATTTGGGGAAACCTAACTCAAGCTTAACTAATAAAATTTAGGTTCAGAAAGCTATGCCTAGAGAGAAAAAGAAAAAGAGAGAGAGAAAGAGGGAAAAAGACAAAGAGAGAGTGAGAGCTGGGATCTCACCATTCCAAGGCACTCGGGTGATTTGTTGACAAGCAAAGTTCCTAGCACAATCCTTGAAGGTTAAACAGGCAACCGAAAGAGACGATCTGTTTCTCCCAGCTTCTCAAGAACAGCAGCGGATGGTGTTAGAGAGATTTTTCTCTCTTGAAGCACTCTGTTTACTGCTTTACAGCTTTCCTATACCCCCCAGCCTCTTCAAAGCATTCTTTTAATTGTGTAAATCAAGAGGGTTCCAAGCCATAATTGACAGGAAAAATCCTGTTACATAAACAGTTTCAATTTGTCCTTTTTCAGTGACAAGGGGTTATCTGGTTTGGAACATCTTAAGAAACTGATTAACAACCAGGAAAAACATAAAATGTTAAGGAGTAACCAGACACCTAGGAGCCAGCTTGAAATTATTATGAATATAGAAGATATACTGCAAGGGATACTACATTGTTTCTCAGATGGCCTAGCTATGCTTGCGCTGTGAAGTCAGCATCAGTGTTTTGTATTTTACCTGTTGTGAATAAGCCTTAGCTTAGCATAACATTCAGATCTTACTGTAGTCTTTTAACATACTTAAGGGGATTACTTGGAGTGTTTATAAACTTTGTGGGGAGGACTTCCACCAGTCATCCCGGGAAAAGTATGACAGCATTTGTGGTTAGGGCTCCAAAGGGCTGGATGCTGTGATGAACGCTTAACCATTGTTCAAATGTCGCCCATACCCCCCCGACTCGGTCTCTTGCCTCAGCATTCCCTAACGCGGAAACCAAGTTTTAGTCAGTCAAATTTAAATAGGCCTCCCATACTGGGACCAGGGAATATACGGCCTGAGATGCCTATTAAACTTTTCTTCTGCTTAGTTCTGGTTAGATGAGGTGTGTGTGGGGGTGGGGGAAAATAGAAAAAGTCCTTTGTAAGTCCAACAAGCTGGGTGCCAGGGCTCCCTCAGGAACACAGAGCTGACAGATAACAATCAAGTCAGGCCAGCCAAGGGCTGAGACTTGGCCCTTAGGTTTTACTCATAGAACATCTGAGCCAGTGGATTCCCTGATGTGCAGATACTTACGTAGGGGAATCTTATTGCGAAGAGGAGCAGTGATTGGATGAAAACTACTAAAATCGCTAGTCTGAAAGGATGCCCTGAATTTCCAAAGACATACAGAATATATTTAAAGGACCCAGCACAAATATTCCTAACAAAAGGCAGAAGTCAGTGTGAGACAATGCATGTGTGAATACACATACATGTGAAACTGCTCCAACATGCTGTAATTACAGCGTGTCAGAGCAGTCTCATAGATTTAATAGATTTCATAGACATTAGGGCTGGAAGGGACCTCAGAAGATCATTGAGTCCAGCCCCCTGCCCAAGGGGCAGGAAGTCAGCTGGGGTCAAAGGATCCCAGCAAGATAAACATCCAAATGTCTCTTAAAGGAGTCAGGGTAGGTGCTTGCACCACCTCTGGTGGCAGTCTGTTCCAGGCCTTGGGGGCTCGGACAGTAAAGAAGGTCTTTCTTATGTCCAGCCTGAAATGGTCTTGGAGGAGTTTGTGACCATTTGACCTTGTTGTCCCTTGGGGCCCTCTGGTGAACAGGCTTTCCCCCAGATCCTGATGTACACCCGTTATATACTTATAGGCAGCCACCAGGTCCCCCCGAGCCTGTGCTTTTCCAGGCAGAAGAGTCCCATGGCTCTCAGCCTCTCATCATGAGGCCTGTTCTCCTGCCCTCTGATCATGCGCATGGCAAATTAATTGAGCAGATTAATCAAGTCTGCTGGAGCGTGGTAATGACCGCACTCCAGTAATTATAACCTACGTGTGTGTACTTGGTGATGGAAAGTCCTAGGGAACAAACACTTGCTCAGTTTGGTTGGGAAACCCCAATGAAGGCAATGGCATGGTGCAGGGAACCCCAGTGGTCCCCCATCATGCTGTTCTTGAGAAGGCAATATCACTGCATCTGGTTACCTTGCAGCCATTCTCCCAGAAGGACTTGGGTAGGAGGTGTTCTGGGCAGGAGCGATAAACTGTGCAGCAATAAGCTCCATGTAAATGGCACATGTAGACACACCCAGTGTTTCCAAGCACAGAGAGGAGCACAGTAAGGCTCTTCTTTTATTGCAGTCACTGGCCCACCCCTGCTGTCACTGGTTAAGTGTGTGTGTCCTTGACTGGGCCTGCATTTAAAGCAGAGGCAGAGACAGCAATGACAGTTCTATACCATACCATATTTTATAACTCCAGTTAATAGACCATAACACTTTACGAAAGAGACCATAGTTAAGCTTTCTTACCCTCTCACCTCTTTGATACAGCACAGGAATTGTTTGTACAGGCTTTTTCAGACCTCTTGTGACAAAAGCAAACAGTCTTTTTCCTTTTAGGCAATTGAATCTCGGCACTTGCTTCATAGTTTCATAGTTTCATAGTAGCTAAGGTCAGGAGAGACCTGAACAGGTCATCTAGCTTGACCCGCTGCCACAGGCAGGAATGAATGCTGGGGTCACAAGACACCAGACAGGTGATCATCCAATCTCCTCTTGAATTTGCCCAAGGTAGGGATGAGGACCACTTCCCTGGGAAGTTGGTTCCAGATTTTGGCCACCCTAACTAAAATATTGCCTCCCGATCTCTAACCTAAACCTATTCTCCATCAGCTTATTACCATTGTTCCTTGTCACTCCAGGTAGTGCTGGGGAGAAAAGGGCTCTTCCTATTTGCTGATGATCTCCCCTGATGAGTTTGTAGGCAGCCACCAGGTCCCCCCTCAGCCTCCTCTTGCCGAGGCTAAACAGGTTCAGGTCTCTCAGTCTCTCCTCGTTGGGCCTGCCCTGCTGCCCTCTCACCAAGTGGGTGGCCCTCCTCTGAGCCCTCTCAAGGCAGGCCACATCCTTTTTAAAGTGTGGCACCCAGTACTGGACGTAGTACTCCAATTGCAGCCTGACCAATGTCGCATAGAGGGGGAGTATCACCTCTCTGGTGATACCTCTCTGGACCAGCTAGAGATCCATCTTTGGATGCATGACAAGGTATGGCTGGCCTTGCTGGCTGCAGTCTGGCATTGGTGGCTCATGTTCATCTTGGAGGCAATAATGACTCCAAGATCCCTTTCCACCTCTGTGCTTTCAAGAGGGGAACTCCCCAGCCTGTATGTGTGCTGTGGATTCCTTCTCCCAAGGTGCAGCACCCTGCATTTGTCTGCGTTGAACCCCATCCTATTCTCATCTGCCCACTTTTCTAGTCTGTCTAAATCTAGTTGCAGCCTCTCTTTCTCCCTTCAAATGTGCCCACCTTGCCCCACATCTTAGTGTCATCCGCAAACTTGGACAATGTGCTTTCAACCCCCTCGTCCAAGTCACTGATGAATATGTTAAATAGTGCGGGCCCGAGGACTGAGCCCTGGGGTACCCCACTGCTCACATCTCGCCAGGTTGAGTACAACCCGTCCACCACTACTCTCTGGGTGCGCCCCATCAGCCAAGTTTATACCCATCCAACTGTGCAGGCATCAGTGCCGCAGTCGCTTAATTTATTGATGAGAATGGGGTGAGAGACAGCGTCAAAGGCCTTCTTAAAGTCTAGAAAGACTACATCCACGGCGACACCATCATCCAAGGATTTAGTTACCTGGTCATAAAAGGCAATCAGGTTGGTTAGGCAGGACCTGCCTTTGTTGAACCCATGCTGGTTGCCTCTGAGCATGATCTCCCCTGCTGGCCCCCCACAGATGTGCTCCTTGATGATTTTCTCCAAGATCTTCCCAAGGACCGAGGTGAGGCTTACAGGCCTATAGTTACTTGGGTCTGTAAGCCTCACCTCGGTCCTCGGGAAGATCTTGGAGAAAATCATCAAGGAGAGGGGCATGTCGGAGAGGGGCATGTGAACCAATGATTGTAAGAGGCTGGGCTCATTGAGTGTGCTTCTCGGGTAGGGGTCAAGTGTAAATGATCAAAGGCATAAACCATACGGAGTTTATACACATGCTCTGGGGGGAGGAGGGGCAGGGGGCCTTTAATTAGAACTTTAGTCAAATGAGCTTTAGTTAAAGTGCCCCCACTGCCATTCTTCAGTGCAGGGAAACTGATACATTTAACACTGGACTCTGCTGGAGCATGGTAATTACCACGCTCCAGCAGACTTGATTAATCAAGTCTGTTCCAGTGTGTTGTCAGAGCAGCCTCGATGCACTTATATGGCACCCATAATAACTGAGAGGGCAGAGGGCCATGTCATATAGGCATAAGACTGGGATCCAAGAGACATGGATTCTGTTTTTCATCGTACCTCAGACTCATTCTTTGACCTTGGAAAAGGTCACTATGGATAGTAAACAAATTTCACTTGATGAACCCATGGCACTTACCCAACCACATAAGTATCATTTTTTACATTTGTGCACAGCTTAAACACTGCATAGTGGGCCCTCATGCACTTGAACCTGATAACCCAGGAAGCAGGAGGGTGAGGTTCTAGGTCCCTCTTACCCAAAGAGGGTTTGAACATCCATGAGTCTGACCTTCTAGCACAAAGCTGTAACCAGCAGGCCACAGGTTCAACATAACTCAGTACCTGCTTTAGCCCTCCCCTTGAAACTGAACACTGAACTTTGCATATAGTAGTTGCAGCAGGGCACTAAGATGTGCTTGCTCCTTTAAGGGCAGAAGCAGCCTAACCAGCGAGTCCTGCAGGCTAGGCAGGACACCACAGCTGCAGGTTGCAGGAGCAACATCCTAATGGGGTAATTAGCCAGCACTTGCAGGCAGCCAGATGACCGGAAGGAGGCAGGGCCCTGGGAACATATAAGCTCAGGGCTGGGGGGTAGCAGGGCTCACACTGTTTAGGAGACTGCCAGGGGAAGGAGCCCATGCCTTAGACTGCTACCCAGAGATGTTTGGTCGCCTGCACTGTGGCCTACAAGTACAGTAAAGGCTCCAGGACCCTACAAGGTATCCAGGACTAGGGGATGTGTTGTTCTAGGGTGGAAGCTTGCCTTCTTAAAGAGTCACAGCATGGTCTCCATTGTTATTGTTGTGTTATAGCCCCAGGGCTTATGTACGTGTTCTTGTTTGTACCGGTAGTTTGGGATGAGGCAATAAGGGGAGGTGGAGACCTCATTAGTGCCCAGTGGAAGGCCCTGGTGCCAGAGGGGTGCAGACTGGGGTCAGAGAGCCTGGAGTCAGAAGGGCATAGCAGATATAGGGGCTGGAAGGCCCGGCTTCAGAGCAGCATGACAGACTGGAGCCAGAGAGCCCGGTGCCAGAGAAACGCAGGAGACAGGAACATGAGAGGACAAACGTAGAGGCAGAGTTTGGCTTGGGAAAGGACTAAGTGAGTCAACTGTTTGTATAGCATCCAAGAGGCCTGGGGTGTGGTATAGGGGAGGTTTAGAGCCACACAGGTAGCCCATAAGGCTAAAGGTGTCCCATGAGGCACCATCTTGGAGAGGGGCCCAGGGAAGGGTCTGAAGGCCAGTGCAGTCTAGGGTTTAGTGTGACTGGGGGTTGTGTAAAGACTCATAGTCAGCCTCCCTGTTTATAATTTTACCTACAAGGTGTGGCAGGAGAGATAAGAAGGTGCCCTTGGGGCAGAGCTGACATGGTCATGGGGCACCAGGGAACATCGCAGCCATCCCTGGGACACCCACCTGCTATAGTAGTCACTGGATTAAATGGAGCAAGAGGTTGTGGGAAGGGGTCTGCACCACTGGGAGCAAAGGTCCAGGGCAGAGCCCAGGATTTCCATTTTTTTTCTTAGACCATCTGCCATCACACTAAGCCAGGCAATTTAAAGCTTATTTGTGTCTTCCTAGCTACACATAGCTTCCTCTTCTAGCTGCCCAAGAAGGTGGCTTCAAAAGGAGTACCAGATAATGCCTAGCCTGCAGCCTAGTGGTTGGAGCAGTGTCCCAGGTTGTCAGAGAAATGGCAGGTTCAAATCCCCTTTTATTGAGGTGGGCGGCAGGGCCTGTATCTCCTGATTGTGGGTCCTAGTGCCTCAGCTATTGGGACTAGACTATGGGAGAGCTCACTTATCTTAGGCTTTTGCCAGGTACAGTTCATGACTTACACTTGCCCAGGGCATGTGCATATACCTGCCGTGCCAGAGCACAGCCTTATCTGCACGCTCAGATACCATATGGAAGCTTATTCATCCACATGGCACATACACAGACTGTGCATAAGCACCAAACAGTCATTATGTGGCTGGGCTACTATCATTTAAGTACTTAAAATGAAAGAGGATTCTGCCCTAAAGCTCTGTCTCAGTTCAATTCTCAGTAAAATGAGAATAATCACACACCTGATTTACCTGTTGACACGCATAATCTCTTTGGGGCTCTATGTAACTGCAGACTGTAGTTTCTTTGTACAGGACTCAGCTCACCAATTTGGGGCCTTGAATTTGGTTAAGGTCTTGAGAGTCTACCAGAGGGAAAAATAACGCTAATAAGTTACTAAGCATCCTCCTTAAGGGACCCCTCTGCTTTGCACAAGCTGCTTCTTGGCACTTTAATCAGGTGAAAATGTAAGAGAATACCTTTTTCTAGGCTCATTACCTCCATATAACTGGGCACACACTATAGCTTCAACCCAAGAGCAGAATCACTTCAGTTAGTGGGGTGAATTCTTTCACCCTAGACATGCAAGCCTTGGAGTGTAAGACGGCACTTCGTGTTTTTGAATATCTTATTCCCTGCATTTTGTGAACTCTTTAGTTCAAAACTGCATGTAATGCATAAAAGAGAGTAGCCAAATAGCCAGTACAACTCTGTTACCTGCACACAGTCAGGACCACTGGTTTATATGCCTACACCCAGCACTAGTCAAAAATAAAATGCCTCGCCCAGTTGACATGATGAACTGTGCAGCAAGGTTGTCACAAACATGAGCAGAATGAACACGCAGCCAGTGGCATTACAAACTTTAAGTTTTTAACTTTTAGTTAAAATTAACAACAATAAACATTGTTCCTGAACATTTGTATGTATGTTTAGAGGGGTTAGGTCCTACTCAGCCTGAGATCAGCTGCCCGTGAAACAAACCCTCTTGAATCATCAGCGGTGTATCTTCGCATCTGCTTACTGTAAATCCTGTGAATCCCCATAGGAAGGAAAATGAAAGTGGAAAATGTAATTTTGTCTATGCAGCCTTAATTTCCTTTGAAAAGAGCAAATAAAGAATAGTTTAGCTTCTGCTCAGATATGATCACAGTCTAGAAGTTTTTGAGCAAACAGCATGTAGAGAAAGCCAACAAAAAAAAAAAGAGAGGCTAGAAATCATTTGAAGTCTTAGGCTCACATATAAATTGTCATATTTGTATAATCCTGGCCCCTTTCCAAAGACCTCGGCTTGGAGTCTTCACCCCTGACACTTCTATACACTCAGAATAAATCAAGATCTGGGGCAAAATCCCTATGTCATCACAAGCCCATCTTACGACACATGGTATCTACTTCCCCTGTACATCCATCTCCCCTTCCCCACTCCTAAGAGGGGGGAACTCTGCAGCCTGTGATTTGCAAACTTTCTACACCAAAATATTCAATATAAAAAATGCCTGGTGACAACAGACAGCCAACTTATAACAGAAATAATGCAAAAAGTCAAAGCCTCCCCTTTACCTTTCTCCCGTGGCACTGCACTCTTGCTGTCTGTGCAAATTAGCATGATTTCCACAGGACACAAAGGGTGGGATTGATACGGGTGCCTCCAGACAGCAAGTTCATTAACAACTCTCTGGAGCTGAGCCAAGGAAACTAAAGTCCGTCCCCGTCCCCCCCCCCACTTATGGAAGTTGTGTGGTCAAGAGGGAGGAGTCTGGGATGCAGCAATGCTAGGCTGAGGGCTGGCAGGGGACAAATTCAGCTTCCTGAGATGCTCTAACGTGAGGCTAGATGGGGAAAAATATGAGGCAGATTCACTTGTGTTTCCAGGGCTGTTCCATGTCATGGGCTGAGGACTTTATATGTTCTCTCTGGGAATTTAGTGGTGCTACTGCAGATCAAGATACAAAAAGAGTTGGGATGTCACCTGTCTAGTTCTTCTGGTTCTTGTGAAATGCATTAGTGGGAAACCACATGAGACATCTCCTGTTTCCTACCACCTTACAAAAAGGTTTCAAAAGATTTACAAAAAGTTGTTGTGAAATCCTGGAAGCAGCCTTTCAGGATGTCAGCGTGTGGATGTGCACCCTCCTTTTCCACTTTTTGGCCAAGATTTTCAAATGTTCTCAGCAGCCAGCAGGTCCCATTGAGAATGATGTAAATCTGGCCTTCAGGATCCTAGGCTGGGGTTTTCAAAAGGACCTATGGAGTGGGAGCTGATGCTTGACCCTCCACTGACTGCTTGAAAGAGTTGGACGCCTCACTCCATTAGTTAACCACCAGTAAGCAATTTTGTTCCATTTGCTTCTAATCTCTTCTGTTATTGTTCTTGTTCACAAATTCCTAATACATTCGGGCCCTGATCCATTCCAACTCCCTCATGCACATGGGACTGAAAAAAGCCTGTGATATTAAGCTGAGTCAACAGTAACAGGAATTGCACACCAAGGGACGTTACCTTGTGTTGTGAGTGCTTCATCCTGGGTCATGCCACCTTTCTAAATTTGGAAAGGCTAGAATTTATCCTCTACACCTTTTTTTCTGTCTTTGTAGGCTTGTGGAATAGCCAACCATAAAATTTATTTAATATCTGACATGAAAAAGGAAGTAAAAACCATAGCAATTATTCTCTATTTAAATGATACGATAATTAAACTGAAGGGAGAGGCTATATCACTGCAGAAAAAAGACAGAATTACTTATGCCTCTTCTTCTCCCCTTTTCCCTTCTGTGCACTTCACCTATCCTTTGACCTTTTTAGTACTTTTCTGTCTTCTTTTTCAAGAGTTTCACAAGCACACCCTAAAACTTATTCTACACAATAAGAACTCATGCACCCTATACAGTTTAGCTGTGAGATAAAGCCTGTTTCAGTGCTTTACTACCCTTAGTCAGAAAGCTTTCCTAGTATCTAACATAAACTTCTCTTTCTGGAACTAGAGGCCATTGCTCCTTGTTCTGTTATCTCCCACCACACTAGTTCCATCTTCTTTGTAACCACTCTTCAGGTATTTGAAGGCTGTTATTAAATCCCCCAAAACATGTTACATTTACCTCCTACAAGTGAAATGGGCTTCATAATTTAAAGAAAAAAAAGCCATATGCAATCCATTGCTAGGTTGCAAAAAATGTTTAATAATTTGATCAACATTATGATAAATCTCTTTTTGCAAACAGGTCAGTCTTTGACTTATTTGATTAACCCATCCTTGGCCTCCTTTTTCTAAGTTCAGCTTATGCAATAAACCAAAATATGCTTAAAGTCAAAGGCATTTAACTAGATAAAATTGAATAGCTTCAACTGAATAGCTAGCAGATGTATTTGTTCCACAGAAAATATGAAAATAACTGGAAGATGGGAATAACCAATGTATAATAAAGTAGAATCTACTAAATTTCCGTTGGAAGCGGCACACAAGTGTGTGTATACTAGTTTTGGGAATCCACAAGGGCTGCTAATGCAAATTGTCTTGCTGTCTTTTTGAATGCAAAGAAGGCAGATCTTTAAGATCTTGTCCTTCACTGTGATGTAGTCCTTCTTAGGAGCTGAGCATTTCACCTGTGAAACCAGCCCCCTTCCTACATGTCTCAGCTCATAATGTTTACACTTGCACAAGCAAACAACACATTACTTGGGGCCAAAAACATTACATGAGGTTATACTCCCCCTCTCTTCCTCCCCCTGCCATACTTCCTTTCTCTCCTCCCGCATCAGTGCACATGATCATACTAGGATCCAGCTGAATCAAGAATCTTCTTCAGAGAGGCGTGTAGAAAGCATCCCGTGAAGGACAAAAAGGGGAAAATCATGGGTGTATTAAAGACAATGTGATTTTTATCCAAACTCTGACTTGATTGGACTTCACCCTTTGTTTCTCCTGTACCATGAACCTGGATTTTCTCTCCTTTACATCGGTCACTTCAGTGAATCTGCCAGCAAAATGCATGGATTACTGGCTTAGGGATCATATTACCACACGTTGCACTGGCCTTATTTGCAAAATTTACTACTGGCCCATCACTATGTAAATTGCTTGTTAAGGGTCAATTTTTGGATGTCGCTTTAAAAAAAAGAAAGCAAAACAGGAGAACTTAAATCCCCTAGAAACCTGAGGTTCACCTTTGATTTTCTATATAGACAGGGTCCTACCTACATCATGAAGAGATGGAGGGATTTTCTAGGGCTGCTCATGCACAGATACAATTTCAAGATCTTTTGGTGACTCCCCACCTTGTTGCTGATTGGCCAAGGGGCCAATCAGTCATCTTCAGACTGCAGTGTTGCTGCAGCATTGAATCTGGCTTCTTAAAAGATGGCACTGAAACCATGCTGATTTCCCAGCTGGCACCTTCATTGAATCTGTGTCACTAGCTCAGCCTCTCAGTAGCTGTCTTGCAAAACACATGATCTATGGCTGCAGGGATTGCTGCGCTTTCTTTGTATTCCGGCAAGCTTTTATTTTATTGCGGGGCATTCCACACAAAATCACAGGAAGCACCATTTTTTGGAGTGATTGCAGAAATGGTCAGTTTTCGCAGTTTCCACAAAAATGGAAAACTGCGATTCAAGTAGGTCCCTATCTATATAGGATCATGGAGAAAAGGCTGTTCATGTGGATCAGGAAACCATTAGAGGCTAGGCAACCTCAATTCAATTGCTGTCTCTCAGATTATCTGTACAATGGTGGGCCAACCACATAACCTCTCCCTTCTTCCACTTCCCTTTCCTAAAACCTATTTATGTTTATTTAATCTTCTTTTCGTGGGGCCTCAGTGGAATAGATTTTACTTCATGCTTTGTATAGTGCACAAAGCAGGGTCCAGTCAGATTACCACCTGGACTGGAACTGCCAGGTGCTTCTGTGATCCAAACAAAGGAGCAAACAGACAAAGAAACCCCTTGCAATTGTTATCCCAAAAGAACACAAGCAGTTGAACTGGGAGGTGGGTCTGTATTAACTAAGGAGATGCCATTTTAGCCAGCTGTGCTACACCTGAAAAATACAAAAGAAATTAAATGGAAAAAGAAATCCCTAAGAAGCATTGTTCACCACAAAGTGTTGATGTTCAAAAGGCTGCTGTTATGGAGTGGATACTCAAGCCTAGACCCTTGATTGACAGCAAGATGGCTTTCTGGGTCCCTCCCAGTTAAGTCCAGGATGAAATGTATGTCCCCAGAAGGAGAAATGTATGTTGATTCTGAAAATGGTGCTGGTGGAATCCCTTTTCTAGGCACATTATGTGTTCCTACTGTTGCGTAGGCCTGGGGTATATATGCACCCGCCAGAGTTCCTGAAGAGGCTTGTTTTCAGGAAGTTGGACTGGATGATCCAAGCAGCCTTGCCCATCATTTCTGGTTCTTGTGTAATGCTTTAATGGGAAGCCACACGAGACTTCCTGTTTCCTCCTGTGTTACAAAAGGGTTTGAACACTGTGTTGTGAAATGCTGGTAGCAGTTTTTCAGAATGTCAGGGTGTAGACGTGCACTTCCTCGCTCCCTTTTTGGTCAAGGTCCTGTTGAGAGCAGTGTAAATCTGCCTTTTAGGATTCTAGGCCAGGAATTTCAAAAGGATACAGGAGGGAGGGGGAAGTTGATGCTTAAGCCTTCACTAACCACACAAAGAAGTTGGACAACTTACTCCATTTGGCTCCTAGGAAAATCCACCAGTAAGCAATTTTGCTCCATTTACTCATCTCTTCATTTCAGTTTTTTGTGCATAGAATCCTAATAGGTTGACAGTTTGCAAGATCCAGTAGGAGTCCATCACTAATGTTGATGGCCTCATAATATCTTTCATTCCAAAGACCTCAAAGTGATTTGGAAACATTAGGGTCTGACTTCTGGCCTTTGCTACATACGTGTCTCTCTCATACAAACAATTCTCATGGATTACTAGGTATCCACGGACAGACTTTAATCTTAAATAGCCAACTTATAGTTTCCATCAATACAGTTTCCATGAGAAGTTCCCTGCTGGCGAGCAGGGGGTCGGAGCTATGCGCTGTCCCCTGCCTGTACCACGGGGTTAGGGGGCACAGGGTGTGAGTGGGCGGGGAGCCAGCGGGAGCACAGGGCCCGCACCAGTGTCCTGGGGCCAGTGCCAGTAGGGCCCAGAGCAGGGGGGCAGGAGCGCAGGGTCCCAGCCGGCAGGGGCTCTACGGAGCCGGGCCAGCTCCCCCCTCTCCCTGCTGGTGCTGCCCAGCCCAGCTCCACAGACCCCTGCCAGCCTGCGCCCTGCTTTGGGCCCCACCAGTGCTGCCCCACATTGGTCCCAAGACATGGGGACATTGCTTCCAAGATGGTGACCGGGGGCGGGGCACCTGTCAAGGGGCGGGGCTACCCATGCGGCCCTCAACAGCCTGCCAAAACTGGGTAAGCAGCCCCCCCTTCCAAAATAATTGCCCGCCCCTGACCTAGAGCCATGTTGTCACTTTTGATCTGCTCAGGGAAGTATCAATATCACAAGGATGAGTGGTGTGGGATAGTAGTCAGAGCGTCAAATGGGTCTTGGGAATCTTTCCATGAAGTCTCAGATACAGGCTTTTGGTACCTTCCATACCACCTAAGCCAGGCTTGTCCAACATACAGCCCGCAGGGTTGGCAGGGGACTTCTCAAAGTAC